CTATTGACAACGAATAGCTGCAAATCATAATTCAAAGCATTATAAGTACTTTTTAGTTCTAAAAGAGAATAATAAAGGCCAAAATATTAAGATATAATGCATAAAAATATATATAAAAATACACATATCAGGTCTCATGGCATAAAGGTGCCAACTTTAGGGCAATGAGAGCCCCGTGCACATTGTAAGGCACTTTATATGGATTTTTGAGCTAAAAACCCCATGCATGTGCATCAAGTTTGGAACTTTACGTATAAAATGGACATTAGGAGGCCAGATCTATGGTTTTGATGTGTTAGACGTCATTTAAATCAACTGTATGGAGTTGGTCAAGACTGGACTCGGCGAGTTGTTCTTGGCACTCGACGAGTCGGTGACCATTGTGCACCAAACCCGTTTCTGTGAACGGACAAATGATAGGAAGGAAGTCCCTTGTGGGTTTAGAAGCGAAAAGGGACCTGGAAGCCATGGGACTCAGTGAGTGGTATGAGCAGACTCGGCGAGTCCAAGGCAATCTCCCAATCTTTGAAGATGGACTCGACGAGTTGTTCATACAACTCGGCGAGTCATAGACTGGACAAGTTCTTAAGTTGGAGTTGAACTCGATGAGTTCGAGAAGGAACTCGACGAGTCGGTTGAAGATGGTCCCGATGTTATGATTGAAGGAGAACCCGTCGATTTTTGTCTAGACTCGACGAGTGGAGCCGGGGTCTATGTGGGTTTAGTGAAGCATGGACTCGACGAGTTGGTAGGCCAACTCGGCGAGTCAGGTCAACTGAATGTTGACTTTGACCAATGTTGACCTTGACTAAACTTGGACCGACCCTGTTTAGGGTTGTATGCGATGTGTGTTGACTTGAAGGTTGTCGTGTAGGGATCGAGGAGTCGCAGGGAGTCGAATTGTGTGCCGAGGATAGTTCAGACACTGCACGACATTGAGGTGAGTTACCTTCCAGTAGGGGTGGGTCTAAGGCCATAATGTCGGCCCACCAAAAGGGGTATCTATAAGATAATGGTATTTGTGATAATTATGTTGGTCTGGTTATGTGATTATTCTAGAATATATGTTATGTGTTTAGTAGGGATTAGTTTCCCTAGCGGTGGTCCACAGGACCCAAACGTAGGTCAGTACCCGGATATGCCTGACTGTATGCTTATATCTGTTGATTGCATGTTAGTAGTAGGGGTGAAATACTCCCCAGTTACCGCTTGAAAGATACCGATGAAGGTTACCAGTTGAAAGATACCGATGATGGCTACCGGTTGAAAGATACAGATGATGGTTACCGGTTGAAAGATATCGATAAAGGTTACCGGTTGAAAGATACTGATGAATGTTACCGGTTGTAAGATACCGACGATATTGTATGGTATGTGGTATGATGGGGGAAATCACTAAGCTTTGTGCTTACAATTTTGGTTTTGGTTTCAGGTGCCTCTTCGTCGAAGGGGAAAGAGTCGGCGACGTAGCAGCGCATCACACACATACACATGGTTCCGCAAGAAGTTTTAGGATTGTACTTTGATTTCCTTTACTTTTGATGTTATGATTTGGAAATACAACACTATGATTTTGTAATGAATGTGTGTTGACAATGTTTGATAAAAATATTTGTAAAACGCGTTAATTCAAAAACGAAATTTTTGGCCTTGAAAATTGGGTCGTTATAAGTTGGTATCAGAGCCCTGGTTTGAGGGATTCGGACACACCGTCGGGGGTGTCTGGACTCAAACCGAGGGACTAAAAGTTCTTTCAAGAAAAATGGTTTTCTAAAGTTTAAACTGAGAAATTTTTAAGAAAAACGAAGTGTGTGATGCGTGTGATCGGCCTATGGAATATGGATTTCAAAACCGCTTTCCTTAATGGGAAGTTGGCTGAGGATGTTTACATGGCTCAGCCAGAGGGTTTTGTTAATGCGAAGCATCCCAATAGAGTGTGCAAGCTTGAGAAGTCCATTTATGGACTTAAGCAAGCGTCTCGCAGATGGAATCTTTGTTTCGACGAGAAAGTCAAAGAGTTTGGATTTCTACGAAGCAAGGATGAATCATGTGTACATGTCAAATCTAGTGGGAGTATAGTTAGATTCCTCGTATTGTATGTCGATGACATACTACTCATAGGAAATGGCATCCTGACACTACAGGAGGTTAAGTTCTGGCTCGTGAAGTGCTTTGCTATGAAGGACCTCGGAGAGGCTTCCTATATTTTGGGAATAAGGATAGTAAGAGACAGAAGTAAGATACTAATAGGACTTAGTCAAAATACTTACTTGGACAAGGTACTAAAATGTTTTAGTGTGGAGAATTCAAAGAAAGGGGAGTTACCGATCCAAAGTAATGCCAAGTTGAGTAAGAGTCAGAGTCCGAGTATCGAAGTCGAGATAGTATAAATAAGTCGAGTACCATACGCTTCCACAGTTGGCTCGATTATGTATGCTATGACTTGTACTCGCCCTGATGTGGCCTTCGCTTTGAGCATGGTCAGCAGATATCAAGGGAACCCTAGCAAAGCACATTCGACCGCAGTCAAGAACATTCTTAAGTACCTTCGGAGCACCAAGGAATGGTTTCTAGTCCTCGGTGGGAGTGATGACTTAAAGGTGAGAGGGTATAGTGACGCCAGTTTTCAGACCGATAGGGACAACTACCGTTCACAGTCAGGCTGGGCTTTACCCTTAATGGAGGAGCAGTGACTTGGAAAAGTTCCAAGAAAGAGAGCGTGGTTGATTCAATGTGTGAATCAGAGTACATTGCAGCGAGCGAAACGTCAAAGGAGGCAATATGGTTGAAGAACTTCATTGGATACCTTGGAGTTGTGCCAACCATAAAGGATCCCATGGAAATTTTTGGTGATAATGAAGGAGCGATTGCCTTGACCAAGGAACCGAGGGATCATGGCAGATCTCGATATATCGACAGAATATATCATTTTATTCGACATCGGGTGCAAGAAGGACTCCTCGTAGTAAAGAGGGTATCGTCAGAGGATAACCCAACAGATCCGCTTATGAAGGGACTGAGTACGCTTAAGCACTTGCAACACGCTAGGAGCATCGGGCTGAAGGACGATATTAGTTTAGATTAGATAGTTTAGAAACGTGTAATAGATAAGCTGTAATTAACATTTGATGATTAAATAAAATAGTATTATTTATTAGTAATATTACTGTCTTATGTTAATTGTTTACCTATTGTTTCAATTTGCATGTTTTGACTTCCTGAATAATAAGAATTATTCGAACCGTCCACAGTCGTTCATATGTTGGAAGTAGGTATGAATGAAGACTGACATGAACTGGTGTGTAGATTGTCTAAAAAGTATTAGACATACAAAAAGTTTGTTACAACGTTCATGAGTGCTTATGAGTTTGATTTGAGCATTGGAATAAACCCATGCTTGCTAGAATCACTTCATGGAATTTATCTCGAGTGATCGCGAGACGATAATATCACATGGTCTTAAAACCTAGATATATGGTTTATTGTTTGGTAATTGGTTATGCATTAATAATGCGAAAACGCATCAGTAACTTGATGTTGTAAAACACATTGTTGTGTATGATTTGGTTAGTGAATAATAAATGCATATAAGTCGAAGTTTATTTGTTGCTTTAATCCTAAGAGGGTAAAAGCGATATCAAGGCCCCTCGATGATTTGGTTTGACTTATGCGCCGGGCCCGGTCAGGACTGAATTGATGTGTTCAATTAAGTTCTATGTCAAACAAATCAGAGATCGAGAAACAAACTGTTGGAAAATAAGTATGACTATGTTCCATGTAATTATTTGCACGATATCTAGAATGGAGGACTATATGATCTTTTATCTAAAGGAAAAGTTACTGATATGATCAGAGTTTGACAGCATCGTTGAGATCTATGATTGCTAATCGGATTGTGTTGACATTTCTAGTTACTAGGCTTATCCAAGTGGGAGACTGTTGGATTAGTGTCCAAGCCCGTAACTATATTTGGTAAGTACTTGACCCGGTTGTGCATGGTCCTTTTATGTTGCATTCACCATAGCAACTTGACAGGGTGATTTATGGAGAAAAAGAAGATATTATGGTTTATTAATATATTATAAGAATAATATATTAAAAGAGAAATCATATTATTTAATTAATATTAGTCATAAATTAATTATGAATTAATTTGGTGACTAAAAGAGATTAATTGAATAAAGGAGACTTAAACTGTCAAATGTGTGATAGTGGAATTTTGGGCTGGGAAACCTAATGGATTAAGGGGTGAACGAAATTATGATGGGAGCCCATCATATTTTCGTCCATGGCCTTATTCCATAAGGTTCCATGGGCTGCTCACAGTATAAATAAGATCCCTAGGCTACAGAAATCAGCCACTTGCTTTCTAAGAACCCTAGAGCCGATTTTTTGTGTGCCTCCTTCCTCTCTCATATACTACCCTCTTACTATTTGGTGTTTGTAAGCCATTATAGGAGTTACACTTCTGACTCTAAGCTCAAGGAAGAAGAAAGATCAAGCGTTCTTGAAGAGGTAATCATTTAGATCTCATTAGTTACATTAGTTTTATAATATGTATGCTAGATTTAGGGTTTCAAATCTTGGATGAATTGCATGTACAATAGATAAACCTAGATCCAAGTAATTAGGGTTTGCATGTGCATATAGGAATGTTCTTTTGTGTCAAACCCATCACTTTCAATCTCCTACTTGCACAAGACTCATATTAGACTGATATAGACAGTGGTAAACGTCTAGCAACATTTCACTGCCCCTAAGACCATACGACTGTCTGTGCCATTTTATCAATGCCCAATTTCCAAAAAGCTAAAAGCTACAATTGGTATATAAGGTAAGTTTATCAGTTATCCCTTTGCTACAGACATCATGTTGAACATGAGGTACGGATCGCAATCAATCTCATTGGTTGTTCAACTTTTGGTAAGGCGCCTTAGTTGTCTAAATCCCAACACATAAGAGGAAAAAAAATCCCATCTTGACTATATAAGCCTCAAACCTTAGTTGTTTAGAGCAAGAATCTGTGCACGAGTCCGGGTACGAGCAGAAACTTTATTAAGCAAACGCATCCCTTCCATAAAACATGTACGAGCTATATCAAGGATCTCTTTGTCTAATGTAGTTGTAATTTTAGGACTCACTAGTATAGAAGTCTTAGTAAAAGGATGATAGAAATAAGGAAGAAACGCATCAAAGGATACAAGAGTAGGCGTTCCAAGGTCCTTTTAGGAAGACGGCAACACAGAATCAAATACAACAAGTATTATCGTAAATAAGTACAAAACAAGATAAGTACAAAACAAGATACATATGAAATCAAAAAGATTAAAGGAAACATACCGATGTGCTCTGAAGTATTTGGTGAAGTTGTAGCAGCGACTTCCAGCAAAGCATCATTCCCAAAATCAGGGATCGGTTCAGACGTTTCCCCAGAAATCAAGTACGAACTTGAAGGAAGACCCAAACCAACCAAGGGAGGATTCAAAGTGATGACTGTTGAATCCACACTAGACATTTCAAATAGACTGGAGCTAGTACGAAAAGCCACTGTTGAAAGATATATGTAGCAGTCGGAGCATGCAAGGTTTGATCCTTAGATGACAAAATAACAAATTCAACAAGGGTGTTGATGTGGACACTCCACTCTAATCTAGTCTAATACACTCTAATCTATATAGGTTGTTATGTTACCTAATATTTTACTAACTTTTACTATTTATTATCTTATTATTATATAATCATTTTATTAACTTTATTTATTTTTCAATTATTTGGCACAAACTTTTAAAATTCATGGTAACGTTGATCAAGTTATTGAATTATATATATATATATATATATATATATATATATATATATATATATTGAAATTGGAATCGAAGCAATATGTGTTCGTACTTTGACGTAAATGAGATTGGTTCCAATCACAGACCAATTAATTTTATTAAGTTTATTTTTCAATTATTAATTATTTCTTACAATTAACGATTTCTATTAATCTTATTATTATTTAAATAATAGTTTATAAATAAATAGTAACAAATATGACTTTTCTTTTTCTATGTACGTCGTATTTTTTACAGTAACATGTTTTAGTTTTTAACTTATTATTGTGATTTACATATGTTAATACAACTATTTAAAAAAAAAATTGGACCATTTATTCGTACGTTTATAAGATAAATAAGATAATAACGATATAAATTTCAAAAAAAAAATACTCTAAACAAATCCTCACCAATCTTTTTTTTCTTTTAAATTTTAAATATTACATAGCAAAAATTTGATACAAAACAAGCAACAACTAATCACTTATAGTCATAAAAGATCTTTCAGTAGGTTTCAGATGCTTATAAAATTCTAGCCGTGACTTATATATAGTTTGCCATTCGGTTGCTGACGGGGCTTTGTTGCGGATCCACAATGCCGCAATGGGAGGCATTGGGTACTCTCCTTCCAATTGTACCATCACATAATGATTGGTGTACACAAGTGCAAACGTAAGGACCCGATGATTTTGAAACTCTCTAGGACCTCTCCAAAGAGGGAAAAAAGTTACGGGGCCTTCAGTGGTCAAAAAATGAACGATCACACCAAACCTGTTGGCTATCAAGATGCCTGTCTCAGGCATAAGCATCCAATGTTCTGTTGGTGCTGACTCATTTTTCGTAAAGAAAGACAATGAAGTAACTACTTCATCACATCCAACGAAAACTCTTGTATAGTCGTCATATGAACAAAATAACTCGTCTAACAATTGTTGACGAATGTAAAGCCACTGATCTTCACCATATCCAAGACAAACGGCTACTGATCGAAAACCACAATTTCCATCACCCAATACATTTTGTATATGTGTGATGTATGGATGAAATATAGATGGAATTTCATCCAACAATGAATTATGTCCCAATGGTGGTTCCTCGTTTAAGTCAATCTTGTATGAACATTGGCCTATCGGATCCTCGTTCATGTCTGTCTGGTATGAACACTGCCCTAGTGGTTCCTCGTTTAAGTCTATGTTGTATGAACATTGACCTATTGGTTCCTCGTTTAAGTTTATGTTGTATGAACATTGGCCTATTGGTTCCTCGTACGAACCCATGACGAATGAACTATGTCTGGCCGGATCATCGTTCAAGTCCATAAAGGATGAACTATACCATGGTGGCTCCTGGTTTAAGTCTGAACAACTGTATCTGTGAGTAGCTTGACTTTGATGTTGGACACGCTTTATTTTTGGGCGTCCACGGTTATTTTTCTTAACCAAAGGTTCATTGATCAAATTCGTTGATGGATCAGTTATCTCATCCATTCTCCTTAAATAATTATATTTGATATGATCTGGTTGAGTGTTGTATATCTCTTTAAACCTTTGCATACGATGATCAACATTAAGATCACCATATTCCACAGATATAGAAGGCGTCAAATCAAGCTTTCTCCAAAAAGCATCAACCGAATCTAATGGAATAGGTGAACCTATAGTTAAACAAATAAAATATCATAAAGTGGTTATAAGTATAAAAATGTCAATTTAATCCAATAGATTAAACATACCTGTACCGACATACATCACAAGTTCGTGAGCACATGGTAATCCAAAACATGTCCGCAATTGACATCCACAATTCTCAGGAGTTGGTACAAATCTTTTTGACCGATGAAGCTCTTCCAATATTTTATCCATAGCATGCACTGAAACACGTTTTCGCAGTACTTCGAATATCTGATCCTTAAACCTTGGCATATAAGTGATTATGCAGCGTGTGAAAGTTTCTTTGATAGCGGTTTCTTGTGATTGTACAACTTTTTCAATAACATGTATGAATTTGTCCAAATCACATTTCGCAGATTCCAGGTGTTTTTTCAGCTTGGCGTGTTGGCTCTCGACTCTGTTTGTTGTTGAATTTCCAAAACTGACATGTTTGTCAGTCCACAACGATACAAATCTTTCAGCATACTTCCCCAACCAAACAGTATAAAGATAATCAAAAACATCTAAAACGTGAAAAAAACAAATTAGTTTGAATGAATTAATAATAATTGTTAAACAAATTAAGACTTCAACAAATATAAGAATAATACCTGCATGTTCGAACAATAATGTTTGAAGGTCTGCATAATTTTGCATATATGCATTTAGTGTTGGAGATTCGACTAACTTCGTCCACTTTAGATGAAAAGAATTCCAAGTCTTTTGTGGTTTGATTCGTTGTCTGCAATGCTTTGTTATATCGTTGAATATATGCCACCTACAAAGTAAATGATTACTTTGTGGAAAGACATCTCCACATGCTTTCATCAATGCCAAATCTCTATCAGTGACGATAACACGAGGAAAAAAGAATCGTTAATCGTCAATTTCAAACAAGTCAATGCCCATATATAGTTGCTCGTTTTTTCATTATGCATGAATGCAAAGGCTATGGAAAATGTCTTGTTTGTAGAAGTGACACCAACAATTTCTAGAAAAGGAAGATTATACTTGTTTGTTTTATATGTAGCATCCATCAACACCACATATGGAAATGCTTGCCACATCTTTAATGATGTTGGATGAATAAAAAATAGATCTTCTAACTCGTTAGTAATCGTGTTTGCACGATACTGTAAGTTGTACCCTTTAGTTTGCAAAATGTGCATAACATTCTGCATCGGGGTTCTACCTTCTCGCCGAGATCTCCCCAACTTCTGGACAAAATTATATATAGTTCTCAATGAAGACACATTATTTTGATTTTGCGCTTTTAGTGTTGGCAAAATATTTCGCGGTTTCACATCCAACTCTGTCAAATCTTGCACCAAACGAGCTTCTTTATCTGAGAAACGCATTGCAAAAGGATGACCCTCCATGTACATTGATGGTTCGTGATTGTGTTCGTCACGTACGACCCTTAACTTCCAACCATCGTGTGCTTTCAAATAATTTCCTATCAATTTGAATGGACAATTAATTTTTTTTGTTTGCGCATCTTTATTCCTGGCTACGCCACCACGATCACAACCAAGTACTATTTTAGAAATGAAGTCCTTAGTTATTGCCTTTGATCGTTTAGTGACGATAACGTAACCTTGTGAACGTGCCACATTTTGCACCCACATCATTAAATCCCCACGAGAACTAAAGACCTAACAATTGAAAAAAAAACCATGTTAAAAAACCAATAAAATACATCAATTAATTACGAATAAGTAAATAATAAGATTAGAGATATACTTGGTCCGTTGAAAATTCCGAAATATTTTCCATTTTTTTCCTGCAAAAATAAAAAAACAAAATAAAAATATTAATTAATAACCTAAATTTTATTTAAAAATATATATTATTTTATAAGTTTGTGTTAAGTAAATGTAAAGTGATCATGAGAACTTCAAATAGCATAACCAAAACAATTATTTTATAACCACAACAATTATTTTATAGCACCACCTGATTAATAACCAAAATAATTATTTTCGTTAATTAAGTTTAGAAAATGGACACCTTGGTCCATGTTGCCATTGGGCCCATCCTTAGGCTTAAAGAATTGTCTAATATATTTATAAAAAAACCCTAGTTTTCCCTAAATCAGTTTCCACACCATCTAACATTTCGTATCCCTCTTCCATATCTATCTCGCCGGATTGTAGACCTCATTGGCCACCATGTTGCCGCCACAATATATGGCACGTTCCTGTCACTATCTCGACGGAGCATTGCAGCAACCAACTCGCCGTCTCGTCGGATTTTCGATCTTGTTGGCCACCATGTCGCCGCCGCAAAATGTGGCCCGCTCTCTCTCTCTCTCTATGGAGCACTGCCACCACCAACTTACCTTCGTTTTTTTTTCCGTCGGAGAACTGCCACCACCAACTCGAATGGCAACATCTGGCGAATGACCCCGACGAACAACATATAAATGAAGATACGAAGTTGGAAAGAAAGAACTTACCGTTTTCCGGCGAACAACGACTCCGTCGACTATTTTCCGGCAAACATGTTTTCTTTTCCGGCAGCTTGTATAAACTTTATTGATTTTGTATTAAGTTTACTGTATTAAACTTCTATTAAGTTTACTGATTAAGTAAACAAACTTATAGCCATTGTAAATTTAATTAGTTACTGTTTTTTGTGTTTTAACTTTGGAAAATAAAAAATTAAGCATGGGAAAGTGGAGATTCTTTTGTAATAACATTTAATAGAAAAATTATATAAAAAAAGTAGAAAATTATGATATATAAAACAGGAAAGGGGAGATTCCTTCGTAATAACATTTAATAGAAAAACTATATAAAAAAAGTAGAAAATTATGATATATAAAACAGGAAAGGGGAGATTCCTTCGTAATAACATTTAATAGAAAAACTATATAAAAAAAAGTAGAAAATTCATAAATGGATTTCATGACCCGATAAAGTTTGTTTCTTAATATTCATGGTTTAAGGCGTGGAAAATAAAAATTAAGCATGGGAAAGTGAGTAATTTTCTTGGAAATAGTTCTGGAATATAATCAAAAAGCCAACAAAAATTTGTCAAACATTCTACTAAAAAGGAAGTCAAAATAGCGTAGACTGGAGTGTTTAGAGAGTGGAGTGTAAAAATAATATGCCAGCACCAACTGCCACCACCAACATTCTACTAAAAAGGAACTCCATATGGAGTGTAAAAATTTGTCAAACATTCTACTAAAAAGGAACTCAAAAACTACACCTCAGAAGAAGGAATATTCTCCTCGGGATGCTTCATATGGAGATCAGTAACCAGCGGAAACTCATGAAGAGCAGTTTTTGTAGTCGTTGCAGATGAAGGCTCCTCGGAAAAGGAATGACCACTATATGACAGAAGCCCATGAGATTTTGATTCACTCCCTCAAGTGATCCTATTGCGCTTCGATGATGATAAGTCGATTACCTAACCAGGACGGTTTATAACTCCCTCGAGAGAAACAACTTTCTCCCCATATACTTTCCTCTTCGATCTTAATGAGGCTCTGATAAATGATGAAGGAAGTTTCCTACTGTCTAATTCCATTTTCACAACATTTTTAGAAGGGGAAGGAATAATGGGAAAATTCGTATCCTAACCAGCAATATTCATTGTGGAATCCATACTAGACTCTAATTGAGAAGAAGAATTACGAATGGTGACTTCCTCGGTAACCATAGCAGAGCTCGCGAAGCGTTTGCGATGCAACAGTTTTAATAAAGTGACTTCATGACCTGCGAAGGTTTCCTTCCCAATTTATTCTAGTAGGAACTCATGCCCTCCATCCCAAGCGTTACTTCATCGGCATCAGTCCATTTCATATAATCTGACAGAAGATTCACAGTACTCCGTTCTTCGGAAGTAAGATCAGGAGAAGGATCTGCAACTCTATCAGCAGTAACGCCATATGCCATAGGCCCAACAAAAGCAATAGAAGAAAAAAAATGAATTCCACCTTCCAGTACTTTATAGAAGTAGGAAGGGCATCGGAGATTTCTACTAAACCATGACGAAGAGAAAAGGATATCTAATCTCCATTTGATATAGGAATGTAAAAATAACGGAAAAGTGTGATGGAAGGCACAATCTCAAGTGCAGAACATAACATTTCAAAGCAAATGATTTTTTGAAAATCATTTAGGGTAATTTGAGTGATGTGAAGATTATAGTAATCAAGGATTACCTCCAAGAAATCAAATGTTGGAAAATGCACCCCGAACTTAAAGAATACTTGATATACCCAAAAAAACCCTTCCAGAGTGTCAATGATGTCATTAATTGGTTCAGGAAGACAAGGGTGAAACTCAGGATTGATGTGATACTTCTTTACAATATCAACAAGAGTTTTTTGCAAAAGCCTAGACTTTACGGTATGAATGTTCATCACCTATTTGTTATCCATGTCGAATCAAGATGAAGAAGAGAGAATAAAACGGGAAAAAGAAAGTTGTAGAAGGTGATAAAAATAACCAGGCAGAGGGAGTTATTTATAAGTAAATCAAACAGAAACCTCTCACACTAACGGATGAAATGGCCGTTAAACGTAGGTAATGATGAAACCTACAGGTTGTCGAACCATTACGTCAACGTTTAATCCAGGTGTTTGATCTTATCTAGACCCAACGGTTACCTTAAAAAAGTTTGAATTGTTACTCTAAACGAAAAATAACAATCCAAACGCCGGGTGGGGGGGGGGGGGGGGGGGTGTTTAATAGCTCGATCTATGAATAATTGAATATCATCCTTACATACAGAACCTGGTATATATAGAACCAGGTATATATCGTACCAATAATGTATCAAACAAAGTATACACCGGACTAGGTATATACCTGACCATGCATATACCGAACTAGTTATATGCCGAACCATATGAAATAACGAATAAAGTATGAGAATACGTCACAACACTATAACAGTACATACGAACTCACCAAAAACAACATGTATAAATATGTTTGACTAATGGGTCCTTAAACCAACGAACCACAATTGTAAAAACGGCTAACAAGCACACACGAGTGTACCTTTGGGATACGGCCATTAATGCATCATGATGACACACATGCTCAGTGTAGGAAGAGGGCTTGGACCCTCCATATCGGCTATAAATAAAGAACGAAGAACACTCTAGAAGTTACATACATTTGATCTGATCATTTCTCAATCGATTATATTCCAAATACTTTTGTTCCTTCGTTATTTAATAAATCGTCATTATCGTAAAAAAAACATTTTTTGACTTTAACATCGAAGCGTTGGCCCGGGATCACATCTCGGTCAATTAGCTTACAAGTTTTTGTTTGTTGTCTCTAGGTTATCCATATCAACAAGGGAACAACGATCCTTATAATATATGGAAGGCGAACCCAAAGGCGCATCAGTACTTGTTTGTTACATAATTAACTGAAATGGTATGTTGGTATGTATGTGACACATGTTTGTAACATCATTAATTGAAATTGTACTTTGGTATGAATTTGAAATAATTGTATAATGTAATGAGATTGTATACTACAATGGTACATATGATTGGTTTTGGTACTTTATTACATAATTAACTTAAATTGTATGTTGGTATATATTTGACATATATAATCTAATGGGGTGGTTATGTTGCAATGGT